GACAGTACATTTATGTATGTTTAATTGTACATACCACTATGTACAATTAAATATTATTAATATTATTGTTGTTGTTGTTATTATTCCTATTATTATGTATAACTAAATTGACCCAGACAGTACATTTATGTATGTTTAAAAAAATGTTCAAGAAATCAATCGTGTAATAGATCTAGTCCTTTTACTTTAATTGATATTTAAAAACAGTTACAAAAGTGTGGCCCTAGATCCCTGGGGGTGGTCTTCTGAGACCCATCCAGAGGTCCACAAATATATATTTTTTAAATTTTATTTATGCATTTTTTAAACATACATAAATGTACTGTCTGGGTCAATTTAGTTATACATAATAATAGGAATAATAACAACAACAACAATAATATTAATAATATTTAATTGTACATAGTGGTATGTACAATTAAACATACATAAATGTACTGTCTGGGTCAATTTAGTTATACATAATAATAGGAATAATAACAACAACAACAATAATATTAATAATAATAATATTTAATTGTACATAATGGTATTCTTCCAACTTATACTTTCTACTTCTATTATGTAATCATTGGTAAAACAAATCCCATGTTGAAAAATATTGTGTATCCTCTTTATCCTTTATCTTGAATGTTAACCTATCCATTTCTACACTATCTAATATTTTTCAAATTATATTTTCATCTGTAGGAGTTTCCTTATTTTTCCAGCGTTGTGCAAATACCATTCTCGCTGCCATCAAAACATCTAGTATTAAATATATGTTCCCTTTGTCATATTTTTCTGATAATATACCTAACAAAAATATTTCTGGCTTATAGTCCACAAATTAAAAACTATTTGCCAGCCTATGTTGAAAACTACTACAATATTAAAATTCCATCAAACAATAGTAAGAAGTTGTACTGCAACTAATGTAGTAAAATTTTAATATAGCAAACAATAATGAATATAACTCATGCAAACAAAAGCTCTTAGCAGCCCTCCATACTGTGGGAAAGTGTCCTGAGAGAGAAAAAGCTCAAGAAATACTTACCTAGATAAATTTTAATTGCCATTTATTTAAATCTTTAAAATATCTCCTATAACTATCCTATTTTTAAGCATTCAGAAGGTAGTTCTATTGTTTAATTCTGAAGTATCTAAATATGGTATATAAAATTACAACACGTCATGATTTTTCATGAGTTTTATTGCCTCCTGGGGGAAATGAATTAACACTGAATTATTCTCACCTGTCTGTTCTGAATCCTGCTGCAAGGCTTACATTTTTCTATGACATTTGCTATGATTTCTGTTGACATTTGGTGGGATTTCCTGTTAATATAAAAATGTTAATTTATAGTTATAGCAAAGTAATTGCTTTTCAATTTTTAGATTCTGTAAACAAGACAATGATGGATTGTGGATAACCACATATTCTCTCCATAAGGCAACATATGTGGAATTTTAAAAAGCAATTTAAGAAATCTCCATGAAATTTCTCCATATCTCTGCTTTACTTACAATTCTTTTTTCACATGTGAAACCCCTTCCCAGGACATCCAAATATATGAGTTCTTCTAACTACAGATTATAGCAACTGTCTCAATCTGTCAGAATTTTCTTATATAATTAGCAACCCAATCAAATGTGCATAAAAGCATGTGCTTTTTGAAAGTTGTGATTATTTAAAATAATTTATATTTGGATCTTACTTCCTTAGGCTTTAGCAAAGAAAGCAAGAGAGGGGAAGTTACTTCCCGAAGAATACCAAGGAGGATCTTTGAGGTAAGATCTGTGAACAGAACAATGAATGGGGGTTACTTATCTATAAATAAGTACTGCTATATTCTCTTCTGTTTTTCCTGCTTTATTTTCGGGCTGCTGTCGAGTTGTTTTTTGGATTTAATTCTATAGCCTTTCAATGGTAATTCAGCAACTTTAATAATGCTCTATCTAGGTGTATTATAAAATCATAATATCTGCTATTTTATAAAATTTGGAATCTGTTACTGTATTTGGAGTTATTAGAATTGTTACATTCATGAAAATGATACACTGATAGTAAGCAAGCAAGTCAAAACACCTTTAAGGCTGACCCTAAAGAGAAGCCAAAAGACTTGGCATTTTCATTTATCAGTTCCATGAATCTGAAATAACACTATGTTGAACTAGTATAACTTGGAGGAATGACATTTATGCTAGATCACTGAATTGGGAACAGGTTAGCTTCAAACTGGAGGCATTTTGAGTAAATGTAATGAATTTAATTAACCCTTAATTCTCCAGAGCCCTTATACAGTACATATAGTTGAAGTGGTAAAGGGAAATATTTCTACATATCTTATATTGCAAGAATGGAAAAACACACCCAGCCCACACTTTTGTTACTTCTCATGCTTGGTTGGTTTCTTGAGGATGAGATCTTAAAGAGAACAGACATCATCCCTCCCCCATTGCCCATCAATAGTTATTTTATTGAATAAGATAGTAGCTGCAAACTTTCAAGTTACCATGAGTAACAGAAAGAACTGCCTAGTACAAGAAATGTAACAAAACTGGAGAAACTCCTTTTGTCAGCATCAACCATCATCACCTTTCCTAAAGAGATAAATTGTGTTGGGCTGTTGTTAAAATGAAACAAGTTATGTGTGGCAGTTTTCTTCCCTTTAGAAAGGAAGGCAGCCTTTTCTAACGGCATCTGATTCCCTTTCCAAACTGACTCAAAATGGGAAATTAGTGTGAATGAAGTGTTAGGAAAAAAGTTCATCCAAAGGAGAACTTCTGCACATATGGACTTTTTGCATTTGTTTCATATGTTCATATTCTCTAAATCTTGATATGCAAGAATATTGCATTTTTGGAAAAATGTCAAAAAAAGTAACAGCATTTTATTAGCATTACCATGTTCAGTTTATATAAGAGAAGATGGACCTTACTTGGCATGGGGAAAATCATAAAACAGATTTGCAGAATGCTTACATAAAAACAATGAAACATATTTCATTGGTTCACCATATTTTAGTGCCAATACCATTTTATCATATTTCCTAATATTGATTCTGCTGCAATGGAACAAGCATGACTGCTTCCAGACACCTTGAAGTCCTCCTGATGGATATTTTTCCTCACCTTATCATGCACCAATTTTGTAAAACCACAATATAACATTGTAAACAAAACTATTTTTGCTCAACCTGCAAAGAAACAGTATAAAACAGTATTAAACTCTCATGTCAGAGTTTAAATCAGATGCATTCAAAGTAACATACAATTTTATATGAGTTCAGTATAATATCCAATATTCAAAATCTTCAAACGATTGTGTGGGAGATTATTGCTTTGTTCGCATTCTAGTATGAATATTTTGTGTTAAGTCATTTGATCAGTAGTTCCCAATCTACTAGGTGGAAGCATGTTTAGGGTTCAGGCATAGTTAACTTCATAACATTTATTTCCTAGACGATATGCTACTGAGTGTTTGCCATTATCCGTTCAGGGAGCTTTCTACCACCGCCGCTTATCTAAGCTACAATCATCATTTTGTCCTCTGAGAAAGACTGTGTTCGTATGTGGCCCTGGGATATTGTTGAAAAAAATATGTTGATTTTTGTTTATGTCTCACCATTTGCCATGTTTTCATTAAAATAATCTAAAAATCAGTGGGGCACCTGTTGCCCATTGATGTTCATGGGTCCCATATTAAGCAGCCAAACAATAGGTGTGAATGGGTAAGCCTTTGCCAATAAAGGTTTGGCACTTACCAGCTTTAACCTGTTCCTCATCAGCTAAATGTATTTTTTATAGTGTTATAAAATCTATTATATTATCTATCGCCAGTCTGCTTAGGTACTCACATTTATTTCTACTTAAGCCTTCTATGTTTAGTTGCAAAATATGGATCCAGTGTTCCATATTTTTTTTCAGTGAGTCCTTAAAAGAACAGTTGTAATCTAATTGCTGCTTCCATAGTTTTGGACCATGAGAGATGCAATATCCAATTAGGTCACTATGTATAGCCACTTTGTTAAGAAAAAATGTTGTCAGGGTATGCCGTTGTGCAGGTAGTCTATACTTCATACCCCTGGTATGATATCAGCCACACTAGAAGCAGTTAGATGGTTATCTTCCTGGCTTCATATTATGGTGATCTTCTTATGGTTTTATGTTAATTTAATATTTTATCTCCTATAGTGTATTGTCCACATTCTGTAGATGCCATACACTAAACAAATAAAATTTAACAGCTATGCTAATTATTCAATAGCCGTGTTTCATCACATGGAATTTGAACCAGTTTTTACTCCCAAGAACCCCTAGTCTCATGTTGATGACGAATGAAACTATTTGACTGTTCTGTTATAAACCAAATTCAAAATCAAGAATTAACCATTGCAACATATTTATTTCTACCTACCTGTACTAAACAGTTTCAGAATTATTTTTCCAGAATGTCTTATTTTTCTATTTCTTGTCATTTTTCCAACAAAAGCATATCAAATCTTGGAAAGTTCGGTATCAACAGTTTTATTGGTCTGGTAATGCCTCCTCAAGCCTGCATCTTAGCGGTGGGAGGATCTCGGACAGAACTCACTGTTGTAGAGGATGAAGATGGGAATGAGAAGCTTCAACAACACCAGCTCCTAACGATAACCCTGTCAAGTGATGGTCGAGTGATAGATGATGAACTAGCTTCTAAATTTTTAGACACACTCAAGGCAAACTTGGAGAATCCAGGCCGTCTTGCTTTGTATTAAAAGATCAAGATTTCTTCCTGTGTTTGGCAAAATATTTAAACTGAATTCCGAAAGAAGATAAAAGGCAACTAGACACAGAAGCTAGGAAAATATGTATAGTGTGACATGGACAACTTAAACTGCTTATTTATTTAAATAAACTTTAAAAGATGTTTAATGATTTCGATCTCTTGACTTTTATGTTGAAATACTGTTATGCATGTTACATCTGCAAAACTGGTTCAGAGTAATTTTAGAGTGTGTTCTAATATACCCTTTTCCCCCGAAAAATAAGACCTCCCCAGATAATAAGCCCAATCGGATTTGAGCACATGCACTAAAAATATCCTTCCCCCAAAATATTGCAACACAGCAGCATCCATGACCATACTCGCTACTTCCTGCACCTCAAAAATAATAAGACCTCTCCGAAAATAAGGCCTTATTTTGGAGGTCAAAAGAGAATAAGTCTCTTGTCTTATTTTCAGGGAAACACTGTAAATGCGTATTGCCTATATACTATGTAAAACTCTTGGGTAATATTGAATAGATGTATAAAAAATACTAAAAGGAAAGAAGACCATCTTTCCTTCAAGCTAAACTTTTATCTAGGCTGAATACCAACCATCTTTTAGGTCTAACCAGATTGAGATGGCAAAATGTAATTGATCTGAGTCAACAGTGTTGCTGTTTATTTTTTAAAAAGCAGTTAGAATAGGATTCAGCTATAGGAATCTGACTATATGAAGAATTATCTGCATACAATAAATACAGTTACTAATAATGATAAATATTATGAGTGATGAGAAGAAAATACAGAGTGCCAAAATTCAATTGCCAATGTTAATCATTAATCTTAAAGTACATTCTACATTCTATTCCTGTTGAACATGTTTTCTACTTACAGTTCTTGTTATTATGTATTGTTGTGAGTTTCGAAAACAATGGTTTGAGAATAAAATCCGGACTTAATTATTTGCACTGGAACTGGTGACATTGGTTTTCCTCATGGCAGTGCTTCAAGCCATAACTTTGGAACATCATATAAAGAAAGCTTGCCCAAATTTCATGGACCCATTCTTCTTATCTCTATGTATAACTTTCAGGCTAACAGAAATGCTGCTGCTTGTATTTAAATCTGAATCTATTTGTATGTTTTGAAATGCAAAAGTAATACAATTTTAAGAGTTCAAATTAGCATATATAATAATCCATCTTTCAACCGTATTTGAATGTTTAAATATAAGTTATTGTTATTATATTTTGTTTGAATACACAGAATTAAATTTTAGGTAGGCTGTTCAGTGTGGAAAATAATTTTGCTGTCCAAATATAACTTGTCAGAATGTTCACTGTGTTCATATTTCAAAAGGTGTATTCTTGATATTCAAGGCAGTGCATATGGAATTCAAAATTTAATTAAACTATGATTTAACCTTCACCCCATCCTCAGTCTAGTTATGAAATATCTACCACTCAACTTCTGTATCTGCTGAATTTGGAATTGAGACCCATTGACCTTAATGGGATTCTCTTCTGGATAAGTATATACAAGATTGCTTTGCTATCCACAACTGCCAGATTTACTGAAACAATTTCCTCATAAATCTTTTCAGTGAATAGCCATGACAGTTTTTTAGCTTTATAATTACATAGTTAATGAAATACAATATGTCCCTGCATATTTGCTGCTAAATTTAAACATTCAAGCTCTATTTGAAGTAGCTTTATCTTGGCAAGATTTCTGATTCATGGTAGAATAAAAGAAAGTTCATATTACAATAGTTTCTTATGGGCTTAATTAGTTGGCATCTACAGTTACCACCAGGAATATTCAGTGCTGCTAGCAAGATTTCATTTAGTATCGTTATGGTTCGAAAACAGACTCCCTGTTTGGGAGAAAAATTATCAAGCTTAAAATAATAACTGTTTAGTTAAGTAGTTTTGCTTTGCCTCAGTTAAACGTTTTCAACATTTTAAAGCTATCTTTTTAACATTTAATTTTAATAGGTTATCCTCTTTTTATTGTTTGAAAAAGACTTTCTGTGTCCTAGTTCCATAACAACTGGGCCTATCCAAAATTCTTTGTGACCTAGGCAAATCCTTTGAATAATCAAGTTAAAACTTTCCTCACTAGTTGATACAGTTTATAGCCTCAGGCTGTACAGATTTGTCCTGACTGTAAAGCTAACAAGTTACTTTTAGAAATGTAATTTATTGCACATTTATAGACATTTGTATACATATCTTCTCCTTACTAGCCCATTTATAGGAATGTTGGGAATTTCAGATATATCTCTGGCGTCTATCTTTTTACATGAAACTATTGCCTGGTTTATAAAGGGTCCCTAAGATATATAATGTTTACATTGAAAGCATTATTAAAACTAGGCACTTGGGCAAGATTGTAAGCAAGTGAGAGGGGCAATTGGATCTTTCTCAAGGATCATCAGGACACTGAGGACTTGTCCTTTGGATTATTTGGACTAATAGCTAGTACAGTTGAGCAGCCATCAAAAAGAACAATGAAGGATACTAGAATTTTGTAAGCCTTTTGTGGCTCATAAGCTTTCTTTTTTCTCTTTTCAGTGCTGCTGTAACTTTGGTCACTAAAGGAACTGTTTAGTTGAGCACTACCCATATTTCTATGGAGAAACAGATATTTTTAATCTATCTAAGCATTCTACTATGAGTGGGTTGGTGGGTAGGAAGGAAATAATTAAAACATATTGCCTGCCATTTTTTTTTCTTTTGATATTTTCTTTGGCTCCACGTGGTTTGTAATCAAGTTCTTCCATGATTATTATTTTTTGTATGTGGGATAAAACTACATACCTTACAATTATTAGCCAACTTGGTTTGTGTGTGCTTGTGCGTAAATGTGTATATACCACATAAATTAGTCCTTGCTGCTATAGTAAATTGCATGTACCAGATATCCTCAAATACACAAGACGCTGGAAGGTATTTGGGGGTAATTATTTGGCTTGCATGACAGGAAAAATCCCCTTGCAAGTAAAATGGATGAACTGAAAATGGTCCCTGTCTTGCCATTCCAATTCCTGTTACTATAAAAATTACAAATAAAAATTACTATAAACTTCTAGGGAAGTTTTCTACAGTTGATTGGCCATAAAAATTACAAATAAAAATATGAACTTCAAAAGAAAACTTTTGCTTCTGGCTCCCTTTCTGCTACACTTTCTGTTATCCATGGATCACCTTGTTGGTCTATATGGCATTTTCCTGAAACCTGCTTATTAGCATAGCAATAGCATTTAGACTTATATACTGCTTCATGGTGCTTTACAGCCCTCTCTAAGCAGTTTACATAGTCAGTGTATTTCCCCCAACAATCTGGGTTCTCATTTTCCTGACCTTGGAAGGAGGGAAGTCAACCTTGAGCCTGGTGAGATTTGAACTGCCAAATTGCAGCCAGCCAGCAGTCAGCAGAAGTAGCCTGCGGTACTGGACTCTAACCACTGTGCCACTGCAGTTCTTATTATTAATACTCTTCTGGTATACTTCATATTCATGGTCTCTGGCTTCAGGGCAATTGGTTTGTTTTCCTTTTACTCTTGGGTCCTGTTTAATCAGACAGTAGTTTCTTCATACTTCCATTATCATTCATTTTCGGTAGAGGATGAATCAGTACAGTCATTACTGTGTCTGCTTCCAGCCATGGACTCATCTAGTTTTCTAGACTCTGTTGCTAGTCATTCACTGTTTATTTTACCAAGAGCTTACAACACAGTGCTGGGATTTCTCTCTTATCTTCCTGCTCTTGGGAAAAAATGATAAGAGTACCTATTGTGTCAATGATTTAAAACTCTCTCTGAACCTTATTGCAGTTAAAATGTTTCTCATTTCTGCTCCCTGTTGCGTCACTCTGTTTTGAATAGAATTTAACACAGAGTAATGTCTAGTTACTTTTTAAAACTGAGAAATGGTCTTTTCTGTGTAATTAAATATGCTTCACCAGTACAAGCAAAACAGATGTTTGAAAATAGCCGATCAACTGTAGAAAATTTCCCTAGAAATACTGTGCAGCATCAAGATCAAGCAAAAATATCCTTGTTCACTATTATATGTTAATCAGACCACTTAGAAACTGGGCACCATATTTTAAGAAGAACATAGACAAATGAGAAGCAAGTCCCAGAAGACCAAGATCATCATGGACCTGGAAGGTACAACTTAGGAGAATTGGTTAATATTACTGAAAATGTTTAGCTTGGAAAAGAAGATGATGGGGAAGCATATTGTTTCCAAGAATTTGAAGTGCTGATTTATCTGTTTCCTGGACTAACAGGAGGAAGAAGAACGAGAAAATTATTTCACATGGACGTGCACTGCAATTTATTGTTAGTAAGAAACAAATTTTCTATGATAACCCTCAACAAAGAACTCAAGAGATCACCTTACTTGGTGATACCGCAGTTGAGTTTTCAGAGTGAACTATTATCTCATAGTCTCAAGTTTCAAATATTTCTTTGTAGTTCAAATTCCATATAATATTACAGTTAAAAAAATACAAGAAGTTGTCTATGTATAAAATAACCTATAATTGTTATAATCAGTACACAATATCATTTGGGAACTGTGTCCTGATTGTTGCCTTCAAGCAAAGTCTCTCAAGTTACATAAGTATAAGGAGAAGTAGAAGAGAGCCCACCAAAGATGCGTGCAAAAGTTTGGATATATATAGGAGAGCTGTGCAGAAACAGCCTGGGCATGTATGTAACTCCTGTAGGGAGCTCTTTGGAACAGCTGTAGCAACTCATGTGCAATCCTGGGAAAAATTGATTTTCTTTGAGCTGTTTCCAAGAGGTGCCATTTGCATATCCCCATGGCCTTCCAATCTGGATCTCTGCCCACAGGGCTCTATTACCATTTTATTAACAAGGTATTGTCTATGTCAAGGGTGGGAGTGGGAGTGTTATGGCTGGAAGTAGTGGTGCAGCTGTTTGGATTAACTGACATGAGTTTGCTCACACTGAGCTGGCTTCCCTGGTAGAAGGAGGCTGTGGAGCAAGAGTAATGATCTAATTTGGAAGGTGCCCAGTGGGAAAAATAAAGTCAGACGGTTATCTTCCATTGCAGCTTCATAATAAGCTTGAGCTGCAAGTATTGGCTGGCATTATGTTGAAATCAAGCAACAAGTCTGATTGGTCAGACTTA